TAGATATGCATTCTCACTGTCCAGTATTTTTACAATTGGAGCTGACACTACAAGTGTTATCAGCCAGTTGCTCTTCCTTCCAAACATAATGTGAATCCAACTCCAGTTGGCAGAAGAAAGGAAAGAGTATCTTCCCAGTCCGGCTCCATTACTACTTCCCATCCTTCACTCATTCTGCGACATATCTCACGGCCGAAGACCAGACAAGCTCCTCATGCTGAATTGTGTTGTGTGGACTGTCTTGCAGTTTTTAGCTAACTCTTTAATTGGTGAAACCGGAAGGGAGTTGGAATTAGTTTTATTGGAATACCTATTTGAATGCATGTATATATCTAAAAGAGGAAAAAAGAAACAAAAAACAAAAGCGCTAGCTCATTCTACCAGCTATGACAGATGCAAAATCATCAGCAGTTATCTCAAGCAAAAATCCAAAGGGATGGGGGAAAAACAACTGTATATTAAATGCAATGTCTTAATTGTTATTTCATACAAAATATTAATAACTTTAGCATTTAAAAAGAAACATTTTTGTTATTTTTCCTGGTTTTAATTTGGGTATTTGTAGCTCCAGGCATGGTTTGTCTTCTCTGGGTGACGGTATGTTTGTTGCTGCTGTGCCCTGATGGGAAGACGGGCCCTTAGGGTTTGTGCCTCCGCTTCATATGCCTGTTTTTAGTTTTATCACTCTACATGCTCTCGCTGCAGTTAATTGTTGCACTAATTACCTGTGTGTGTACATAAATTGGTTGATTGAGCTGTATTGGTGCTGAGAGCATGCTAACTCATTTGTGTACCTCTGGTTTGGTTTTCTTAACTTCTGACCGAAAGATTAACATTGGAATCGCAGTGATCTGCAGCATTTTAAATGGTCAATTGTTTATGTGGTTAATAATAATAATAAAAAAAAGGAAAACTCAATTAAGTTGATTTGATAACACTACTGGTTACATTTGAGGAGGTGAATTTGAGTCGTTTAGTTATTATTGACCCAAACATCGCTCGTTACCTCAAAAGTACACTGTAACTGACTGAATTTTATTGTCTTTTTCCTTTATACATTGCCTATGTCACTTTGGTTAAAGAATGTTTTGTAATGTTTCATGTGTTTTTGTTTTGTATTTTCAAGAAAGACCAAAAATAAATACAATAATAAAGTTTTCCAGTTTTCTGGCTTTATTTTTGATATGCTAGACACCGACTGGTTAAGGACACTGTCTTAACTTAAGGCTCCAACAGTCACAGAAAACCATTTTCAAATGGCTTTTTTCAATGTTTATTAACAAATATGTCTGAAATAAGAATTTAACAAATCTAGTCCGTATCAAAGTTTACGTCCGTACAGTAGAATGCAGAAGAAGAAATTTCAACACACTTCAGCAATAAAAAAAGACACAAATGTTTGTCTAGAGTGAACTGGATCATCGAAGGTCAGAAGCAAAGACTTAGTTACTTGAAAAAAAGTAATCTGATTACGTAACTCGCGTTACTTGTAATGCGTTACCCCCAACACTGGTGATTACCTTTCTGATTAAATTTTCATAATTACAGTGGCAACAAAATAAGTTCTATTCCAACTTCAATCACTGGATGTCGCCATTAGTCCAGGACGAATAATTCCTTTGACGTTGTACCCATAGATGTTGTTTATTAAGACAACATGTAATTTACCAGTTGAAATAACAGTTTACACTCCTAAAATCTTAGTACATGTAATATAGTTTTCATACTACACGCGAGTCGTTTGCTTTGAAACACATTTAAGCGCTCGCTCGCGCTCATTAGTAAACTGACCGTTACAAATCTGCCCGCTCGCCTCAGCGTGTAACTTACTCGACGACTATAAGCTACTCGTTCAAATTACTGTTTAAACACCTTTTCTCTCAAAAAACAAGGTAAGAAACTGGTTAACCCGACAATATTAGATGCCACATTCAACGAATACGTTAACTTTGCTGTCCTTTGAGTTCTTTTAAAGCATTTAGATCACATCTAATATTTTTGTTGCTGTGAGAGCTAATAATAGTATTGAAAAACAATATTCCAACACAATTTGCTTTGAAAACTAACGTTAGCCACTTTAATCATTAAATATATACTCCTCACAGTTTAGATTATTTAAACATTTATCAATATAGCTCAACTGATTGGCAGCTTAATATAACGTTAGGCTAAATCTCGGTTTTTATAATACATTATATGCATAATAATACACAATTTACATATTATTATTATTAAAACGAGTGTATGACAGAGATGTATTATTATTATTATTTATTTATTTTCTTTAGTATAAAGCAGTATGGATGCAGGTGATGCAAGTCAACCAATCACTCGGTCTGCAGAATATGAACAGGTAAAGTTTACAGAAAAAGCTACAGTTTACATGTCACTGTCTTTACTGCTAATATTTATGAAATGTTAGTAGAAAAATGGGTAATTCTGGGTCAGAAACATACTGCCTCTGGTCACAGGGTTTCCCATTAAAACTCAATTGATCATTTATACTTGTACACAGGATCTCCCCTGAACAGCTTCAGTGATTCGCGCAATTATGTGGGGCCTCTGGGTGACTGAGTAAGACAGTGTGGGTTCAAACGTGTGTGATCTGGTCCCGCATGTATGGTGGCAGGTGGAAAAAAGTGTAGGAATGACCTTGTGTGCTTCGGAACATGGTGTGTGTGATCTAAACCTCACAGATTACTATAGGAATTCATTGCAAGATCATAATAAGGTCTTCCTTGTATATGTAACCCTATGTAACTGGCGGGTATAGGGATTCAGAAGAGAGATGTATTGAGGGAACAGTTCATTAAAAAAATGAAAATTTGCTGAAAATGTACTCACTCTGGCCATCCAACAGTTTGTTCATCAGAACAGATATGGAGAAATTTAGCATTACATCACTTGCTGCAGTGAATGGGTGCAGCTTTTCATTTCACAAGAAATCAGTTGATTGACTGTAGTCTTGTGGATTATTGTGATGTTTTTATAAGCTGTTTGAACTCTCATTCTGACGGCACCCATTCACTGCAGAGGATCCATTGGTAAGCAAATTATGTAATGCTAAATTTCTCCAAACACATTTACATCTTGGATGGCCTGAGGATGAGTCCATTTTCAGCAAATCTTAATTTTTTTGGTGAACTAGTCCCTTAATCAAAACCTGTCTTTTGATTTTTTTCTCAGGCACCATCAGTAATTTGCAAAGGGGAGAACACAGGTGGGGATCTGCCAGACTCTTCAACCAGTACACATCTTGGTGACTCTCTAAATGATGAAAATGCAAAACAGAAGTTGGATGTTGAGACATCCGCAAGAAATATTTTCAACAATACCAGTGCAGGCCATTTCAGTGAGATGTTTCAAAGACATATTTCACATGTACAGTGGCCCCAAAATCTATTCAGCCACTTATGGACTCTTAAGTCACGCCTAAAAATGTATGAATGCCATTGCATTTTATGATTTTGAATCAGCTGGTTATCTATGATTTTTAAAGCAAGTTTGCCTTGAGTTTCACTAATGTTTGTCAAACCAAACTTTATAAACATTATTGACAAATCAAAATATGATGTGCACAGGCTTGTCCTCATGTGACTTTTGTTTTGTTATTCTGAAGTGTCTGTCAACCAGAGCGGCGGTGCCCAGTTTATCCCCTGCCAGCAGAGATATGAAACCTTCACTTCCTGGCCTGGGGCTCCCATAATGCAGTATGCTGTCCACTCCAGCAATGGCACTTACATTGTGTCTGAAAATAAGGGCCAAGGTAATGACGTCACCATTTGTGTCATTCATTTGGATTATACTCTCATTTGATATAATACCATATAAAAGTAAATACTTAAGTTTATTTTAATCCACATGTTAAATAAACATTAAACGAACACATAGACGTAAAAATAAACACACGGATGATTCTCATTAGAACATGTTCACTTTTTGCCCCAAAATAAGAAATTAGGACCATTAGGATTATGTTTGTTTGCATTTGACCTTGTTTTAATAATAATTAAGTAGTAATGAGATTTTTGTTCTTTGCAGTAAAATAATTCTGGTGAAGGAAATGTGCAAAATGCATGAAATGGCAGTTTAAATAAAACAAATCGTAATGTTCCTAAAAATAGTCTTCATTAATTTTTATATACACTACCTTTCAAAAATTTAGACTCAATAACATTTTTAATGTTTTAGAAGCTTATGCACACCAAGGATGCATTTATTTAATGTAAAATAAAGTAAAAACTAATAATGTAATAATACATTTAAATTATTATTAATTTAAATTATTTAAAATAACTTTTCTATTTGAATATATTCTAAAATGTAATTTATTTTTGTGATGGCAAAGGTCAATTTTCAGCATCATTACTCAAGTTTTCAGTGTCACATGATCCTTCAGAAGTCATTCTAATATGCTGATTTGCTGCTCAAGAAACATTTCTTCTTAATATTAATGTTGGAAACAGCTGTGCCACATAATATTTTTGTGGAAAGTGTGATACATTTTTTTCAGGATTCTTTGATGAAAAAAAATAATTAGTATATAAAAAAATATATAAATAATTTTGAATGGTAGTGTAATTTCTTTCTATTTATTTTTGAGTTAAAAGTGATAAAAGTGTCTCATGCAATTCACAGCCTACCAGGAAGCCCATTTGTTCATAAATTGAAAGAAAAACAACATCACATGACATTATACATAATGCATCTTCATTTAGTTGAAATCATAACTGAAAAGAAAATCTAAGGACAGTCCTATACATATGAAGCTTTTAAGCATATAAACTCCCTTCTGTTGTCTGCTTCGGTCCGGCTCACAGTCTGATGTGTGAATGACAGCAGAGGGAGGTGGGGAAAAGGAGGGCTATGGCAAAACGGCTTGCGATAAGGGCTGGCTCCGCTAGTCACTGCGTTACTGACATCAGGAGGCTAATGATGTCATAGTGATGTCAATGGCCTTGACAGTGACTGCACACTTAGCTTGTGGTTTGGGCAGCATTGCATGCTGACAGCAGAGAGAGACAGACAAGCTTTCAGCTCACTATATGGCTGTGACTGGAGATGAGACAGAATCAGGTACATCCGCTGTTTTCTGTGGTTCTTACGTGGTTTTCAGCTTGTTTAACATTGGAAACTTGCTTTAAAGATTGCGTTTTAAATAAGTTTATTTTGGTTGTTTGTCCCTGTGGATTTGATTAGGTAATTTTACATTTGATTTGTCAGAGAATATAAACGGAGAAACAACATTTCAAATGCTCAAACAAAACTTTGAAGTTTTGGTAGAGACACAGAGATTGTACTGAAAATATTATATACAATTTGTATTGAATCTGTCCTCTCATTATATTCTTGCGATGAATCATCTCTGCAGCATGCAACAGGCTGAAAGAATGAAATGTTCACATTTTTTTGCTTCTTGTTGAGTTCCTCTGTAGCTCTCACTCGTTTCTTTCAGCACCTCTGTTGCTTTCTCTCTCTGAAACGTGTGAATGCGCTGCCCACTCACAGTGCAGCTGACGTCATGTTGTTTCCTGGAATTGGACACTAGCAGGGAAATGTAAATGCTGAACAGCAAATAAGATGTACATTGACGTCAGTTCAGAATCATGCTGTGATTAAAGGCATCTCCTTTTGCGAGAGCAAGACTACCAGATTAATCATCTCTTATAATGCGCTGCAGTCTCCACGGAGACAAAGAGAATCAGACACGTAAAAAAAAAAAATGTTTTTTTTTAATTGTTTTCATTGTTCATAAGCTTTGTAAAATGATTTCACTTGTTTCAATGAAGAGAGATCAAAAAGTAAGAACTTTTATTTGTTATTATGTAACACAGTTTTGTAACTGTGACCACATAGTTTGTGGCTACTGGGGGAAATTGAATCACTTTGTTTTCATAAGAGCATTTCACCCTGCACAAATATGTTGGAGCTCTTGTTGCTTTGCAATCCAGTTTATAACCACACCACGAATAGGTCTGAGAATGTGACATACTCAGAGGTCACACAATGTGTTTGCTGATCTAATTAATTCGGATTAATTCACCGCCTTTGGTCCTTGCAGACATTTGATTCAGTTGATCTTTAGGCCTGTTTAGTAACATGGTGATCTTCATGAACTTATGACATCAGACTTCAGAATGAACTCTGTCAGTATAATCTTTTGTAATCTGTTTATTTTTATTTCTGTTTATGTTATATTCATGCATGTAATGCATTCATGCAATGTTATCTCAGATTAACCTTTCTGATTATGTTTGCTGACTCTCAATCACTACATCTAAATGTCACCACTACTTTGCTTGTAAAGTGTGTAATTGTGTTGTTATGTGGTGGATTTGAACAAACTCATTTCAGTTCAGATTATAATTTTCCAAAAATTGTGTTTAACAGCAGTGTTAGTATGTTTCAGAAAAGCAATAAGCAAAAAACTTTTATATTATGTTCATATTGGGGCTCAGTCCAAAACACCTGGGTGTTTCATCTCTGCCATTCATCTCTGCCTCACGTACTTGACATGTTTATTGGAAACTGCCAGTGTTCTCACTCATCCTCGAAAATCTGGAATTTTGTAGTGCATGTTATAGGAAATAGGAGAATTACTTTCAGTAAATGTCCTGAAAAATATTGAGTTATTATTGTAGTATAATGTTAACTCTACTTTCTTTCTTTCTTTCTTTCTTTCTTTCTTTCTTTCTTTCTTTCTTTCTTTCTTTCTTTCTTTCTTTCTTTCTTTCT